AATCAAGGCAAGCAAGGCTGTGTGAAATTCAACAGAATCTTCCAATCTTCTCATCATTTTGCGGGAAAATTTAACTACTAGTCCTTCATCTCATATAACAGATTTACCGCTAGTTTTGAGACACTACTCATAAAAGAAAATATTTTAACAGGACTTTGTTCAGCTACAGAATATATCTTCTTAGCCCCAGGACAAATCATACAATCCACGCCTACAGACAAGCCGAGTATACGTGGCATTTGTAGGGATTACGAGCAGATCACAAAGTGAAACCGAAAATGTGCAATTCTGTCGAGATGGCGAACTCCATTAACACCCGAGAAGCTGCCCTGTCCGACATGTTGCCGGCTCTCTTTACGCAAAGTCAGGGAGATTGCCAGAGTCTGTGTCTGTATGGAAGTGATTTACAATCTGGTGAATGTGAGAATTTTGCTCTGATTCAATGTCAAAAGTACCAAATTGCTTTCACTCGGCATCGCGATTCAACGACTAACCTGTCCGTGAAACCTTGTCGATTGAGCTGTCCCACTATTTCAAATGAGTGTATGCAAGTCACTGTTGAGCTGTATCACAGTTCGCCAACATTGTCTCACACTAACAGGGACATGTGAAAAACCTTTCCCAAAAATGGTGCGAAATTCCCGATAATTAATAGACCGTAAAATTACTTGAGAGGATAAGAGCAGAAAAGTAACAAAAAACAAAACATAATTGCAGCTAACAAATCTAAAAGGTCAAAAAGCACATTATCGCAGAGAGTTGAGGTCAGGCCAAAGCTATGAAATTTTGGGCTGCAGCCGCGCCTATCACCGCCACTTTGGGAGAACGAGGCCGTCGTGCAGTTCTGTATGCTTTTTCCGTTGCAATCTGTGGCCAGTCTTCTGTTTGGTATGATATGTTTGAGTGTGTTTGGTGGTGAATGCTCTCGGCGCAGTCCAGTCAGACTCTGCTTACGGCCCACTGGTGCGGTTTGTGTGAACAGAAACACACAATATTGGAGTTGACGCGAGTCGACAGAAAAAGGTGTTCACCAGACACGAGTGTGGCTGCTTCGGTCGTGCTGAGTCTGCGGCAGACTTGTGTGTTTGTCTGTACACAATACAGTCTTGATGAATCACGGGGCTGTCCCATTAGCGGAGCACTTTGGAAAAATGGTCTTGATGCACTTTGAGTAGGATTTTTCTGACTGGCTTTGCTTAAAAATAAAATTTCACAATTCCCAAACCCCCACCCCCCATCGGTACAAATGGTACTATGCATATTTGTAGGTTGTAAAGAAAAACGAAGAGTCATTTATCAACATAAAACTTCTCCGTAATCAATATGATCCTATATGAAATGTATTCACCCTATTTCGTTTAAGGTGATGAAGGTCTGGTAGTAGAAATTTCCCACAATGATATGAGTAGAGCTGACGCTTCCAGTGAATTTCACACAGCCTTGCTTTCCCAAAAGTTATTCTCATCCCGGCTGAAGTGTCGATGAAGCAAACGCATTTTTGCTATAACACTCGACTACGTCAATTTATTTTTCGCATTCAAGTATTGTTTCGAGACTATCAGTAATTCAGTAGTATGAGATGTATTCACCCAATTTCGGTTAAGCTGATGAAGGACTGGTAGAAGAAGAATTTTCCCACAATGATATGGAAACGTCAGCTCAACTCATATCATTGTGGGGAAATGCTTCTTCTACCAGTTCTTCATCAGCTTAAACGAAATTGGGTAAATACATCTCATACTACTGATTTA